TTAGGCTACAAAATTATCATTTAGTGTTTGTGGATATAAATGTATAAATTCAACTTCTGATTATTCCACTTAGTACTTCAAGGAGTATTCTTTTGACATTGCATTCAAGCTGTTTCATGATTGACTAGAAACTCATGGTATTTAATACCTTCTTTCTTGAAGACAGTAACTGGAGTAGACCAATTAAGGGAATAAACCCTTAATTTCCAATGTCAGTAAATTCCAGCAAAAGAGCAGCTTTGCATGATGCTCCATTGATTCCTACAAAAGGCAAGAAAAATGCTTTAGAGTAGCAGTAAGTCTCCAGAAAGAGAACAGAGTCCTGAGAAGTAGAATTAAAATGCAGCTTTCACAGGTAATACAGATATGAATCTCTGTTACAGATGAAAGTCTATAATTCACTTTTTTAAACTCCTTGAATGGCAACCTCAGGTAGTGATAAGTTGCTAAAAGGGTTTTTAGGGAAGACTCTATTCAGTGTAGTTTTCTGTTATGAAAGATGCCTGACATGAGATGGGACAAAGCTCAGGCATTTCTGTATTAAGTGGGTCACAGTTCAAACATGAGTGCATATGAAATTACGCCAACAGGGTTTACACTGGTACATCACATTTCTATTTTCATAAATTTATGATTCTGTGTTGCATAATCAGACAGAAAGGAGTCTCAAAGGGTCATTTAGATTACCAGTCTGCCCCACTGTTAAATGAGTTATTCCATTCCTGACAGATGCTTCTCTTTCAAGTGATGGAGAATTCACAGCCTCTCCAAGCAGTCACCCCCCCACCCCCTCCCACCACCTCCTTCTTCTGCCTGGAAGAACTTCTACTATCCAATTAGAATTCTTCACGCTGGAATTTAAGCCACTACTTCTCATCATACCCATCAAGAATTGCAAAACAGATCCTTCCCTTCTTCGTTATAGCTTTTCTTATATTTAAAAAGGGATGTCTTCTGTTCTATAGGTTAAAAATATCAGAAGTTTGTTCAACCTGTCCTCATACAGCATGTTGAGACATTCTTGCTTCTCTCCTCTGGAATATTTCCAGTTGATTCAACTCTTTGTTGAAGTGAGATGCTCAAATGGGACACAGCATTCCAGCTGAGTAGTCATTCATGATACTACCCATTTTGTACAACCTTTGCATTGTATGCATATAAGCCACAACTCAGGGTTTATGCACATATAATAAAATACCTACCTAATTACAAGAGTTACTCACAAATGAGGCATTAAAAAACATACATCACAGCCACCCTACTCAGCAATAATTATAATTAATGGAAAAACATTACTTAGTGGCTCCTCAGGGATACACATTTTAGTTCCTAAGCTTCATAGAAACAAAAAAGTGTGCTGCAGATTGAAAAATGGTTTCTTTGGTATAAGAAACCATAGCATATTTAACTAGTCCTCTTGCACATTCTGAAAGAAATACTCTGAGAATAAACACTTGCACATTCCTTCCTTGAGGAAACGGTTTGTCACAGGTCAAAGTTATATATCTCTTCTGTTCCTACCAGGAAAATTACAAAATTCCTAACTAAAATATTCTTCTGCCTTGGAAATGCTAGCATGTGATGCCTTCAGGATGTACATGGAGAATATTGCCTGGCTAAGCCCCTTCTCATACATCTGAGATTTTGTATCGGACAGAGACAAAAACCAGATCTCTGTTTTCTCACATCATGTCCACGTGTGATGGATTTCCATCCAGCTAAACTGGTAGTGGTGAAAGCTTGTGAAGCTGTCCTCCCATGACATCAGTTCATCCTACAGCCTGCCTTAGTGACAGATTTTACAATCTTATGATGAACTTTCCATGTGGATCAGGTGCTGGAGTCAGCCCTTAAAATGAGAGAACTGAAAAAAGCTCCTTCATGGCAGCCACCCCCACTGTGTGCCAAGTGCCTCTCTTACATGTACAGAACAAGACAGATGAAACACGACAGCTTATAAAGATGAGGTCTATTTGTTTCCTTTGTTTGTTATCCCATTTTTCCTCAAACTTTGTGCAGGCAAAACTCCCATTGAGTCTGCCTGGGGAGCTCAAGATTTTGGCTCAATATGGACAGGAAACAATTAATTGTTTGTACATATACCTCACAGAAGGTTTATTGCAGCGTGAAACCAAGAGTTGTGAAGTGTATCATATTTGGTTACAAGTTGCATGAAATCTCTTTGTCACAACATGTCACAAATACAAATGCCACATCTTAATGATAAGTGTCATAAAGGATCAAAGTGAAAAAGTTTAGTTCTCAGTTCAAGGTCAACTTCACTCTCCTGCTGGAGCCTTCAGTCTGTCCTAGAAAAGGTCATCTCTAACTCACAGCTGTAAAAATTTCTAAAAGCAATGAGTTGTTGATAGTTCAGTCCCCAGAGGACACAAGTAAATAGCATAATTCTGCCACTAATTCAGTTGTATCCTCTAGGGTAAGCAGAGAATAAATATGAAGGAGACAAATCTGGTTTTAGTGCTCAGGTCCTGGACTGAAACAGCTCTGAGTCTGGGAATGAAAATGTACTCAGAATACTGTGCTTCAGAATAGAGTATAAATGAAAGTTCTTTCAATAGATAATATTCTTATGCCTTTGGTCAAGTTCTTCATATGAAGACAGGCTAAGAGAGCTGGGCCTGTTCAGCCTGGAGAAGAGAAGACTGAGAGGTCATCTGATCAACGTGTATAAGTATCTGAAGGGGGGTGTCAAGAGGATGAGGCCAGTCTCTTCTCCATGGTGCCCAGCAACAGGACAAGAGGCAATGGGCAGAAACTGAACCACAGGAAGTTCCATCTAAAGCTGAGAAAAAACTTCTTCACTGTGAGGGTGACAGAGCATTGGAACAGGTTGCCCAGAGAGGTGGTGGAGTCTCCTTTGCTGGAGATATTCAAAAGCCGTCTGGATGTGATCCTGGGCAATATGCTCTAGGTGACCCTGCTTGAGCAGGGAGGTTGGACTAGATGATCTCCAGAGGTCCCATCCAACCTAAACCGTTCTATGATTCTATGATATGGAATACTCACAGGTTGGACGTATTATTAGTGTCACAATTTTAAGACCATTTTTACTGTCACTTTTCCCTTCATAAATTTGGCACAGCCCTGATTAAGAAACTTAACGTAGTGACATCATGGTAAAATCGTTCCAAATAAGAAATAAGTTAGAACCAGAATCTTCTCAGTTAAGAGCAGGTTTATAGCAATGATGAACATAAAGCCACATAGGCTTATGCAACTTCAACTAGTCTAAACTGAAAGTGCTTGCTTATATCTCTCTGCATCTAATTCTCTCCATCTGTGAAATTAGGAATCAGCTCTCTACCCACTTTGTATAAACAATGTGGAGCTGGAAGAATCCAAACCCACCATACTGGTAGTTCTGGTTTACCCTGTTCATTATGTTTTATTAATATCATTACTTGCATGATATTTAAGTTCAGGTAAAATGCATAACACCGTCCAAATTTTACTTGTGCAGAGTATTAGGGCAGTGACCAACCATCTTTAGCCTCTTTTGCTCAGATAACTCAGAGGAAAATCATAGGCAAAAAATTTCATCACATACAACTGCATGAACAATTCTCCCTATTTTTCTTTAGTTTACATTTTGGAGGGGAGATGTGAACTTAACACATGCATCCTTATCATTCAGGGAACAATTCCTCAGGGGGACTTTTTCAGCCCTATATTAGTTCACATTAACCCTTCGTTTATCTTTTCTTGCTCTTAGTCTCAAACATTTATATCACTGAATATTTTCTCCTAATTGCATCCTTCTAAGGCTTCACTCTAAACAATACATCAGACTTTCACTGCCCCTCTACTCACCTCTTTCCTTACTTCCTTCTCTACTCACTTGCACTCATCAGATTAGGACTCTTAAAATCGTGCATACTACAACTTTACTCCCACCAAGTTTAAATCCACCTAGCCTCCCCCTCCCAATTAGAGACTCAGAAACCAGCTAACACCACTCCCACCCCTATTATAAAAACCTTCAGCAGAGCTATCCCAAGCACACCGGTGGAGGAGCATAGCTGAGATTTGGCCCTGGCCCTCTTACAGGTCCAGATCTTCCAGAGCACCAGATCAATTTCCCAGGCAGTTCTGGTGGTGTGCTGTGTTTCTCACACATGCCTATTTATAAAGAATAACCTTAAAATAGAGTTAGAAAAAAAATTATGTAAAATATATATACTCCCTACCACCATTCTACTACAGTGTATATAGTCTTGTCTCAAGGAGCTCATGAAACGTAAATGTGCTCTAAAAACATTCTGTGGTAGACCCCTTTCTTTTGTTCATTCAGATAGTCAGTACCTAATGCAAAGTAACAACTATAAGCAGCTAGCAGTCAGTGAGGCATTTTAAAAAGCTGAAGTTACACAATGTTACAAAAAGGGAGTGAAGCAGGATGAGAAATGCAGGATGACCTCAGAACAACTATCTGTTAAATGCTGCAGCATATCATGTGTTAGGCAAAGCTGAGACAAAATCCTTACAGAAAATAAGTTTCTTCTAAAAATGTATCACTGTGACATGGTAGCACAGTGTCGTTACATTTGGTACAAACCTGGAGACCTGATTTTGAATGCCTTACTGGACTCACACCAAGTTCTGCTGCTGGCCTCTGACCACTGGTGTGTTCCTTATTAGCCCCCCAGTTCACGGAAGCAAAAGTGGTTGGTCTGAGGATAGCCATCTCATTGTCTTGTCCACTGTATGTGTAGGCACCGGCGAGCTTTCTCCGCCTTAGCCCCATTTACCACCTAGCTTAGGAAACCTTTGGCCTACATTTTAGATTAAATTTTAGCATATAATTTAGTAGTAACCATTTTGCACTCTGGGCCTTGGGAAGAGCAGGAGTTCTCCTGCAGGCATCAGTAGTAATACAGAACTCAGATGACCCAGAAGATTCATTTAGGTGATCCACAGTCATGTGAGATTTATCTGAATCATCTGAACCATGTTATATTCTTTCTTTTTGTTCTCTACAGTTTTCTCAATTGATGTGTTTCTTGGACTGAGACTCTAACCCCATTTTCTGAAAGAGATATGAAAAAGAATGCATGTGTCAGTTCTCTCTATGGCAATGGAAAGGCCCTGGACCCAAGTTAAACAAGTTGAATGGCAAGTATTGTCTGCGATAAGGAAAAAAGAAGACAAGGTAAAGAATCTACAAGCAAATATTTTGGCAACCCTAAGATTACCCTAGAAACTGTCATTTCTGTTTCTTAGATTTACCTTTCTGTGCCCCTGTGCAGTCCTGAGTTATCTGAAACTGCAAATACCCTCAGTGTGGAGTCCCCAGACTCCTCTTTCAGCATAATACTCAGTAAAAATTGTCACCAGTGCAGCTATTAGTGAGGGTAAGTAACATGCTGCCTGTGGATTTTTCCAATTGCTGTCTGGTAACTGTCAAAGCTATTAATGTGTTCAGTGCCACGAATGCTTTCCCTAAAGAATTTCTTTCAAGGAACAAGCCATTCTTACCGCCAGAAAAATGCACCTTATTTTTTCCCTTATAGTCTGAGTCAGAATTTATCCCAAAATATCTGCTATTATGAAAAAAAAAAAAAAAGAGAGCTCAAACATGCAGTGGAAATAGGAGATAACCTCCTCTCTATTTGCATGTGCTTTTTAGTACAGATCTAGGAATATGTGCTAAGTACTCTGATATGCATTTTTATCTTTAACAGGCAAAAGTGATACTGCAGTTATAAATTCATTATAGGTAACGTCATGGATTGCCCACTCTTTCTTCTGTGAGAGATGTCTCAGGGTTTCTAGAGCGACTTCATGATACACATGTAGATCGTTGAAGCTGGACTTCTAGAACATTGGACTCATGGTTTTGGTTTAGGATATAGGGAAATGCAGTAGAGATGCGATTACACTATTTTGTAATTACAAGATGAGGTGGGATCATCAGCTCCTCTCTCAGACATTCCCTCTTTCAGGAGAGAAGTAGGAAGTGGGACAGAACTAAAAATAGAGGCTTTTCAAATCTCCAGATTTGAAAATATTTCAAGATTTTGAAATTTTTTCTTATGTCCAATAAAGATAACACATATGCCACTGGAGGAAGGAAATGAAGCTAACAGGAAATCCTGAACGTATGTTAGTTCTAGTTATATCTCACTTTGACAAGGTTAACCATTTTGACAAATTTAACCATTTTATATTTTCAAAATTCTCTCTAATATTTTAAAAGTACATCTTACATGTATTTTAAGCTCTAAAATATCAAAATAGGAAACTTTTGATGCAAATTTTTAAAACAAAAATTTTGTCAAAATCTGCTTATTCATATAAAAGTTTATAATTCAAAAATCAGAATTTTTCCTTGAAAATTAATTTGGTTGAAAAATGCTTTATCAGCTATAGCTCTACCTATTCCATCCCAGAATTAGGACTCACCTTGGAAAAAAAAAAAAAAAAGCAAGGGAGAAGTGAGCTCTACCAAGTATCATTCCTTACTGGAGAACAGGAAATCTGTACAAGGACTGATGGGGGCAATTTTCTAAGAATATTATTGCCTAAAACATGAGTCTACCTACTGCTACTGCTGCACTGAAATTTAAACATCATTAATCAAGTACAATATCAGAAGTGGGGGTCTTTACGAATTGGAAAAGGTTTGATAGTACAGCTACACTGTTTCATCAGCATACTCACATAGGCACCAAGAAACCATTGCAATGAACATAAATCTTCTCTTGACAAAACACTGCTTTTGACATTATATCAAACCAGCTGGCAAGAGGCTTATTCTGAGCATGTGATTGTATGCTTATTAGGGCTTTTACCAATGTACCTATATCTGTTTCAAGGAGTGGGCTTCTTTCCTACCTGATGTTAAGAGAGAAGGTCAGAGTTTTCGTATAGAACAGAGCAGGATAAAATAAAGGAAATAGTTTTGCTCATTTCATGGCAGAGTAAAATATTCACATTAAATGTGAATTCAAATATAAAAATGACTATCACCTTTAGAATTCAGTTAAATGTAAATAAACCCATGAACAACTAAAGACAGAACAAGATAAAACATAAAGTAGAGCAGAGAGCAGCAATCTATGTGAGGCTGAAAGCATTTCAAGGGAGTCCTGAAAGTTCTCTCTTAATGAATTAAATTAGCTGAAGTCATATATCTGTGCGAACTATTTCTAAAGTACTTTCAGAAATCTCTCTCTGCAAGAGACAAGCTCCAACTGAAATGCTGGGAAGCAACAGAGTAGTAGTTTGATCAGTATATACATTTATATGCTTAGTCCTTTTATCAGTGTCTGGAGATAGTGAGAAATCATAAAGAAAGGGTGCGGAAAGAAGACCCCACTTTATTTCCTTATCTCTAGGCTAAGCTGAGGCTTATCTAGCCTCCTTGCTCTCAGGAAAACTCAAGAGTTGTTTTTTTCTAGCACATGGATCCCCAAAAGAACCACAAAGAGAAGCTACAGCATGGCATGATGAATAATGGGGGGCATGTACTCTGCTCTCAGGAGAGCTGGGTTCTAATCTCTGCTCTTCCATTAACCTGCTTTATGGTCCTGGGCAAGTGATTTCACTTATTTTTGTTTCTATTTCCCCTTTGACTGTCTTGTGGATTTAGATTATAAACATTTGTTGCAGGGACAGGCTTTTGCTATGACCTGTAGGTTTCTTTATTAAAGATACTTTAAAGTCCAGACAGTGTTTCTAGTATTACTATATATTTTAGTATTATTACTATATATTTTAGTATTATTATATGTAGAGACGGCAATATCCCATTGTACTAACAGATGGGAGTACCTAAAATGTATGGTCCCCAACTATTTCTAGCACAAAAAATACAAGATATGCTCATTCAGCTTTACAAACAAAAGTAACAATTCTCAAATATTGGTAGGTACTAATAAGTCTACCTTTGTATATTGGCCAAGCTATATTAGGTCTATCGATTTATTGCAACATCCGGTCAAAAACTGCTCATTCTTTGGCAGATATTGTTATTTTTTAACCATCTAGTCTGTTCAGCTAATAATTGCTCACAGTATTCCAGAGATATAAGCAAAATTATTTCATGATGTCCATTTCTTTCAAGACAGAAGATACAATTTATTTAGTGAAAGATTTATGACAAAACTTACTATTTTTACTGCTGTTTTCTCCATTTGCTTAACTGCTATTAAGTTCAAATAGGGTTTTTTCTTTTAATATAGTAATATTTTGTAATATTCTGGCTACATTTTATACTGACACAGGGACCTGGTAAAAGCAGAAAAATTCTAATCTGACACAAGTTATGATGGAGTTTTGGTCAGGACTATGGTCTTTGATCCTGTGTCATTGCCAGATAAGTTCGTTTAGATCTTTCCAGCTGAACAAAGTTCAGATTTTATGTGAATTTCTGTCAGAAACTATTTTTTTATCAAAATAGCCAAATATTAAAACTATTGAAGTTTGTTAAGGAATACAAGTAAAAAGGTTGATTCCCAGTCAATCGTACTTCATTCTAGAAAATTTGGCTTCCATTTCAGAGGACCATTTGAAGACCTTGCATGCTGGGGTAAGGCTGGCTACCACAGGAACCACAGAGCTTTCTTTCAGACAGCTTTTCCTATTTCTTAATTCTAAGAACAGGGAAGACTGTTCTGGCTGGGACATTACCTTTGCCTTTGCAATAGACTGGAAGCCCAGCTTAGTTGCCCTATCATCAGCTAATACCAGTTTAGGATAGTACCAGCCAATACCTATAGTCAGATATAGATGCTTTACAAGAATGACATTCGTTTAGAAATACACATAATGAGCTCATATATGACGCACTTGTTCGTGAGTGAACTGGTTTGTAATATTATTCATTACTATGTGCAGGTGTTGACTAGTGCTACTGTTTCTTAGCTGCCAGGGCCCTGAGCACATCACCCCCATTTCTGGGGGTTTAGCTGCCCGGGATTTGGACCTGCTTAGGTAATACAGGTTTCTGGCCTTGAGAGGAGCAGAGCTAGGGATTTTCTCTTCCCCATAAAATTGAGGGGATATTTAAATTAATATTTTAATATATTTTCTGAGACAACACACTAAATTTTTGCTGTTGTTCTTAAAAGGTTTAGAAATATATAAGTGCCCATAACAGTGCTCACATAGCATTGATTCTACTTTTCAGAGGGCATTTAATGCATTTACAAGGCCTCAGATGGTTACAGAATAAAGCAGCTGTTTTGTGTGCATTTGAATACCTATTTCTAGAGAGCCAAACAAAAAAGCTGAGCTAAAAAGCCTTTGTTTCTAATTACACAGTGTTCCTAAAAGAAGTCCTCAACTGTGAGGCAAAAGAGAGATAATATCTAGTTCTAAATCATATATACAGAGTACATGGGATGGATATAAAACCTTGCTGAGGAAAAGAGTAAAAGTTCTGACACTGTACTGTTTTACATGTGGTACAAGTATTTACATCTGCAGAAAGAAGGTGTAAGCACTGCTATTTTATTTTACTGCTGGTCATTCAACTTTCTAAACAGTTTGTGTACACTCAAACGAGTAGAGAATCACTGCCATAGAGAACATGGCAGAGTGGTAAAAGAAAGATCACAAAATGCGATCTAGGAAGAGTTCATAGATTGACAGGCTGAAACCCTTGCCTACCTGAATGACAACACTTTCAGCACTTCGAGTGGAGACAAGATTGCCTCCTCAGATTTTAAGACCAGAACTGTTATTAAGATCTTCTGATGCAAAGCAAAAGAAGTGATAGACTGTCATTCGGTAGTTCCTGAGCTGCAGTTCAACTGGAATAGAATATTTAAAATGAATCTTATTTTAAATTATTCAGATGATTGATTTATTGCCCTTTGAGGCAAATACTAGACAAAAATAATTTAGTTTTGCCAAAAAACAATTAGCCATTGTTCAAAGCCAATGGATAAAGTTTTAAGAGTAGTTAAAAGAAACAGGAGCTAAAGTCTTACTGATCTGCACATGAATTCAGGCATGAAATTCACATGGGAACTTTTGAAATTATAATTCAATGACCATTTAAGACATAATATAGAACCTTTTTCCAGTGCTGCTGTCCTGAGACAGTTGATGTTGTCATATGCATTATTTAATATACAGAATAAATTCAGAAAGATTAATTGTTGTATTCATTTAGGTGTTCAACTTCTTTGTATGTCCTCTGACACTCACAAAACAAACCTATTATGCATGCAAAATAAATAGTTAAAATGTTTTGGGACTGTGAGAGTCTATTTTCTGACACCTTATGTGACTCATTAGATCACGGTGACCCTGTCAAGCTGTATCAAAGAATGTCAAATTGTTTGAAATATGTCTGATTCATGCAATCTTTGACAGTGTGGGTGAAGTAATCTAACATGACATGGAATCTAATGAGTATCAGAAAGGTCGTTATTTTCATCAACACGTTAGTTCCTTAAAATCCTTCTCCTTTTACGAATCCAGGCAAGATTTCTTTTAATTTGATGTGCGGTTGAAGTTCTCATTGGTGACAACAGGACCGATTGCAATGTCAGTGTTCTCTATTATGAAGCAAATAGAACTCAAGGAAAGCCTTAAGATCTCTGGATTTAAACCAACATAAGTGAGATAACTGAAGCCAGACAGAGAAAACTCCTGCTCTCAGTAAGACACTGTTACAATGTCGGAACCATACTGGTGGAGACACCATCATGTAATTCTCCATTATATGTCTGTAGTACGTCTGCCAGATTTTAACCACAACACAGGCTAAGGTCAAAATTCTGAAATATTTGTATCATTGGTTTTAACAATTTTTAAAAATATGCCCTTACCTAAATATCATCAATATTTAATGATTTGCTTTAGCAATTGCTTTAATTGAGGAATCAAACTGATAGCTTTAATAGCTAGCTATAGGAAGATATTTATAAAACTTTTTAAAGTCATGTATCAGATCAGGTCTACATTCTAATCACATCCTGCAAATCAGAAAATTCTGTGATATTGTCTGTAACTTTTAGAAATATAAACCAAATTTTGTTTTTCACAGCGCACTGTGCATCTCATTTCCTTTTAAATAGTAACACTGACAATGTTCAGTATAGTACAGGAAAATAAAACAGAGAATCCAACCTTTTTTATTTAATTTACATAGAGCCACCTGCCTGTTACACTTTCCACCCTGATCATTTTTGTTTTCATTAGCAATTCCCTTGTCAGTAGTCTATAAAAAAAATTAAAAAATGAATACTTTTTTAGAAACGTAAACTCAGCTGTGTCTGTCAAACTGATATGTGCTATCTTTAGTTAGAAAACCAAATCATGTTGTTGTTCCACCAGTGTATATAAATATTTATGCTTTACGCAAACAAGTATATTGTGTTGCACACTGGAAACATCTTTGGAATTAGTACTTCTGTTTTAAATAGTTGAGTTCTAGAATAAAAGCATTTAGAAAAAGATTCCAGCTGCCATACATCTGAGCTAATCAAAACAATTTACGCCACAGACTGACCTTTGCTTTAGAAAATCTCTTTGCATGCATGTATCAAGGGACAGAGGTACCTTATTTCCTTATTCTTAATCATAAATATTTCTATTTATTTCAAACATGAATACTTTGTATTGTTGTTTGAGCTGGGTGCCAAACTTATACATGTTCAATCTCTTTCAGTTGTTTCATTCAGACTAAAACTTTGGATTATCTGGAGAAAAACCTTCATCTAGAGCATTGTTAACTTCCAAATTCTTAGGATGCCATGTTAGAACACTTTTTTATGTAGTTTTATATACTTCATTTCAGCTTCATTTAAGCCTCATTTCAGTAACACTAATAGATTCTTCAAAGAAAGCTAATTTAGGAGATGGCTAGAGGAACAGGGAAATTTAGGAAATATATACCAATATTGTAAAATGCGTAACAACTCCTATACTTTCAAAAGATTCATCAGTTTGTACTTTGGAGACAAATCATCAGGAAACAATTGCCTTTCTAGAGGAACAATAAGGGAAACCTAATTCATATAACCCTTTGAAGTTATTTCAAGTATAGATATTTTGCATAGCTCATGAGTAGCTACATTTCAGTTCCTGCATCATGTAGACCAGATTCTGATAACCCTATCTATCTGAAAAGCAACTTATTCCCCTGAAGAGCTGTCTTGGGGATTTCATATCTTACCTAAGCAGGTGAGCACACCTGCTAGTTTACAAAAGCCTGGGACTATGGCAGAGCGAGGTCTTGTGCACTCGCTCTCTCTCTCTCTCATTCTCTGTGAAATGATTCAAAAAGCCTCAGTTCCATTTCCATCACAAAAATAAACAAATATTTGGACCTTGAAACATTTTGCAAAATGAGATTCTTCCTTTCTAACCAGTTCTGCTCAACAGTTCCTTATCTGAGAACCACTATACTAAACATTTCTTAGGACTACTTTCAGTGTTTCGGAATTGGCTTGATAAACAACTAAAATCATGCATGCCTGTCCATAAAGATTTCCGATTCTTCCTAAAGTGAGGAACAAACAATGAATGTTATAGCTCCATCTTTTCATTTGTTATTCCTTTTTTTAACAGTAGACTATTCTTTCCATTTTATGCATACCGACACATACAATTTATCAGGAAAGGTATCAACTGGCTGCTTGTGTATTTTAAGAGAATGTCTTCCCTCCTACAGGGAGGAACAGGAGTTTCAATGAGTGGACATGGAGAACGTGGGAGACTTTATTTATTTCTCGCTACAGCTCTCCAGTCAACAGAGGGACAGCCAACAGTGGAGTATACGTCATCAGTAACAACACATTTGCCCTATTTTTTTCCTTCCTAGTCAGTCACATTAAAGAAACAGCTATTAAATTATGAAAATAAGTAGACCAAGATGATTTATATCCTACAACTTTAAAACTGTTTGTTGAGGAGTTTTCTGGATCATTAATACTGAATTTTAGGAAGATATGTTACCATATAGGAAGAATGTTACAATTATGTCAGTATCTTGAAGGGATAAACACTGTGACCTGTTTGTGCACAAGCTGCCAGCTTCAGTCCACCCTAGGCAAAATATTGATAGAATCGGTAAAGAACTCATCCAAAAAAAAGGAATGTAATTAAACCTAGTCTGATGTATTATTAGACTAGCTTTATTGCTTGAATTCTCATTTGCATCCTTAGGAAAAATTCTCATGAACAGAAGCCTCTTGGAAAAAAAGATAAACATATGCTCCCAGTCTGTCCTACAGATAAATACAAACTGATATAGCTGTACAGTGCCTTGCTGCAAATTTGTGGCTTTTATGTCTTTTTGATTCACTTTCAACATTTCAAAAGCAAACTATGACTGTTACTAAGTCTGAATGAAAGAAGCTTGAACTAGCCCTACGCTTTGAGGATAACTGTAAGGATGTGAAGGCAATGTGAGAAAAGCGGTTTCTTTTGAAATCAAAGACTAAACTCTCACTTTTAGCAACAGGGCCAAGACTTCATCCAGACTTTAAGTATCTGACAGTATCAGCATGGGATCTCTGTTGATACAGAACAAAGAAGGTAAGAGAATTTTTATTTCTCGAGAAAGTCTCATTTGATGGTAGAGGCTCATCTTCCATTATAAGATTCCTCTTTAAAATCCAAGCTACTTGTTGCCAGGTTTTAATTTGGTTGTTTTATCGCTGAAAAACTCCTGCCCAAACTCTTGTGACCTCAATATATGTGAATGAAGTAGTACTTACTTCAATGTCTCAAAGCTCTAAGCTGGCCAATGGGACAGAAAGGCTGTGAGTAGCCAAGGCCCCATGGGAGACAGGAACGCTCAAAGAACCACAGTCACGTTGCATTTATGCTACTGGCCGAAGTACAGTCTTTATCAGCATGATAATACACCCATATTCCTACATCTCCAATAGACCAAACTGCTCTGGAAGGAAAGCTTCAGCTTAGCCCTGTCTTTACGCTCAAACGAAACAAGTACCCTTGTAACACTGTGTGCATGTGCTGGGGAAGGCACAGGAGGGAGAGCGCCTTGCATTCATTTCCCTTCTTGGGACACTTCACCAGCTGAGAACAGGATAAGCCTCCACAATGAATCAGAAAGCATCCTATTACAAGTTTTGCTAAACGTTATGCTTTTCAATGTTATCCTTTCATCTGTAAATAGATTTCAAAATGTCATGTTTTATCCTGAAGGAACTGGCAACAAGAAGCAGGACCCAAGCAGAATAAGCCTGTGACCTCAATGCAGTAAAGCACAGCCTTCCATCATATTACTTCTTTTTTTCTGAATCCTTGAAGACAACTGTGTGAAGATAATTGTTTTTAACTGAAAAAAAAATCTGTTCCATGTGCTTTGCATTTGTAGATTGAAATAGAATATTCTAGAAAATTTTTATGCATTGTTAGTTTTAAATGCAAAAGTTAATTATCTTTATCTGAATTTTGTGAACAAATTTACTTTTTTGTGTCTGTTATTTTAACTACTCTTTAAATAGGATGCTGACTGCAAACTTCTTGTTTATAGTAATTTTGAAGTTTTCACTTTAGCTAAGAGGAAAAAGACTGATGGAAAATGTGGTGTTTGTATCTGCTTAATGAAAAGTTAACTATCCACTTCCTGTTTTATAATGTCTGGTAAGTGTCTCACATGACTATATCTTACCACATTGCATATGGTTTAATGTTTGCATTTTCTCTTACAGTCAAGCCTCATTTCTATTTGTAACTTGATTCTCTGAATATCTTACAGATATTCATTTTCAACTAAAATTGTCTTTGCAATGTTTATAACGTAGTCTAATAGCTAGAAAAACTTCCCTTTGGTGTGCTAAAAAAGAGCTGATGGATCACAACACTAAAGGTCTCTGGCTTAACTTTGCAAAGTAATTCTGAAAGCAGTTTCGTTTTTCATCTCCCTCTTGAATTTTCAAGGGTTAGGTTTAGTAAAAAGTCATGTTTTTTTTCTTCTTTTTTTTCTTTTTAGGAAAGTAAACCTGTCAATACAGAATATACAAAACCTTTTCTCATTAACGCTTCTGATATAGCTCCCTGTGCCTTCAGTAGACTGCTGGATAAGGCTGAGTGAGGAAACTTTTATTAGTGTATGTTTAAAAGTAGTTTACTTCACTGCCTATGTTGGTCCAGAACTCCAAGGATGAATTTAGCAAAGAAAATGAGTGGGAGTACAAAAGACCTTAAGCAAACCAGAGGCCTTATGTGTGGATGCAAGGCACTTGAATAGACTCTTTGGAGTTCAGAAGCAGACTGAGTTCTCCATGTAGTCATATGCTATGCAAGTAGAAATACACAGAGGAATTAATATAGTTTAACAGGAATAGTTCATGGACCACCATCAGATCACACTGCACCAATGTTGTTAGGAGGAATAGAAAACATCCTATAACTTTAAAGGCCAGGACTGCTCAGTACAATCATAACAGTATCCTCCAGCAAACTGCTGAGACCTTTTAAAAATAATTATCAGTATTTTCAATTTGTAATAGTGTATTAATATTAATAATTCTTACTGGAAATCTGTAAAGAATAAAAAATTTTGACTTGCCTGCTGTCCACCATACACATTATACTATGTCTTTGCGTACAGAAATTCATAATTCAGGTTTAAAGCGAGGCCACTGTTATCCGCTTGAAGCCTTCACAGCATCCCCTCTTCTACAGTGATAGAAGTGTTAAGTGCTATTGCTGGAGTGGTTTTGATATGGCAGTTTTTGAAAGTAGCAGGTCATTAATATTAAAATCAGGTTGAACATTAAGGATAGCATTTACAATATGCTATTAAAATTTAAATGAACAGAGCACTGTGCAAATAGCAGTTGTGCACATGAATATAAAACAGAGCATCTCATATGGGAAAGTTTTTTTTCCATCCATGTCCAGTTTTGGTTACATATATAGAGTTCGCATTCTTTGAAGGAGAAATATAACCGACAAACTGAGCTCAGGTAACTCAAGTCCCTTTCCAAAACCTTTGTTTAAATATTTGTTTCTAAAGCCAAAATCTTGGAAATACTTTAGTTTTACAATATCTCTCCTCAGAGACATAGTATAATTGCACTAGATGCTTGTAAAGACTTTATGAACAGTCTGAAAAAATCTTTTCAGTTTAGACAACATAAGAAAAATACAGACTGAAAATAAGACCTGTATGCATTTTTCCAAATCTGATTTCTTGATCGTGTTCTTCAGGGTTAGGTGACGTTTTTCCAGGGTGTATATTCCTAAAGGTTTCTTAAAAGGGCTTTTCTTATGCAAGCTGCTACAGAGTGGCACGTGAATACTAACCATAAATGAATATGTGAACCTTCTGTGTCTGTGGAGCTGCTACCACTGGAGATAGAAGAGCTGTATGGAGGAACCTCAGTACTTTAAAATTCCCTCCTTGCAAACTGATTTCTATCAATCACCTTCAGCTTTCCGTTCTCCCAGATTTCGGGCAGCCCAGGCCAGACAGCTTCCTGCAGGGCCTGCTTACTGAAGTGTTCCAGGGTGCAGCAATTTTAAAAATTGAAATGGAATTAATGAACTACTTACTTATATTATAGATTTTCCTAAATTGTCACAGTGCTAATAATTACCATAGTGTTAATAACTGCACAAGTAAATAATATTGGTGTAAACAACTTTAGTATTCTTGATAGTTAACTTGGACAGTAGCGCTGTACAAACAGTGCTGGACAAACCCCAAATCTGATCCAGAAATGGCAGCACTTTCATTTTGCTGGGTAAGAGATATTTTAGTCCATATTCAAAGGTAAGCATTATTTTTGAATAGCAGGTTGTTCTCTGTGGGAACAGTTTAGTCAGGGGATTAAATATTTCTCTATATTTGCCAAATGCGAGCAGCTTCAGGCATAGATTCCTCAAAATGCCCTTTTCCACCAAATATGTATAGCTGTATACAAACTGTTGCACATATAGATGAGCACAATTTCTTTTTCAGTCTGCACTTTCTCCTCAAAAGCAAACTATCACTCTCTGGTCTCCTCCTTGAATGCTGGCTTAATCTGCAATTTGGAAGTAAAGGCTTGCACAAATGAATTTGGGAATGTCATCGAGATATCACACATAGTTGTATTTCTTTCTTCACTTTTTTTCCCTTTATTTTCCTAGTTTTCATTTCTTCCAGTTTTAGCTCTTGATTCAGCTACAGTCTGGCTAAATTCAATGTGTCTTTATAGTGTGGAACGTATAGGTGTATATGTGTGTGTGCATATATATAAGCCAATCTATGAAATAGAAATTGCAGGCTGTGAGACTAAAATTGCTTATGCTTTTGCCATATGAGAATTCTTCTAGTGAGAGCTGTACCTATATGAAAACTCAGATAAGTGACTTGAATTATAAGAAATCTTATTACAGTTTTCTAGTCTTTAAAGAATACTGATCTCCTTGATTCTCTATTCTTCCTCATAAAGAGGAAAAATGTGAAAATCAAGGTAATTAAAAACTAAATACTTCACAGATAAGACAAAGCTGAAAGTATCTTTTGATGAAGAAAGTTGTGTGGTATGATTACATTAATTTAATATTATGTCCTAAGTTCCTCAGATTAGACTGGACAGTAGTTCTTTCACTAATAACTTACATTCTGTCAGGGACTTGTGTATACTGGTATCAGATAAAGCTCAGTATGTCTTTGTGTAGGAAAGAAAGAATTTTGCACACCGAAGAAAGAAGATAGAATGGCTTGGAGTGGCAAGTGAGGGTTCAGGGAGCTCAAAAGCCGCACAAGTTTTGTGGTCTTTGGAGCCTTGATGTAGGGTGTAGAGATATATGTTTTCAACTATTTCTCCATTCTTGAATACTCCAAGACTTCAATACTATAGTTCTTAGATCCTGCCTTTCACTTTTACAAAATGTAGGACCATCATTTCCAACCTGACCTCTCCAGTGGTAGCAGCAGCAAGAGTAGAGCTGCCGTGGCAGAGAGGGTCTGAAGGCCAAAGCAGTGCATTTCCTAATACAGGGAAAGCAGATTGTATGTCAGGCCTGACGTTTTCACACCCTAGTTACTCGTACATTTTTCAGCCCACTGCCATTCTGATCTACAGCTGGAGTCTCTGGATACTACTATAACATAAATAGTAATAATTGAAATTATTGAGTAGAGCTCATTTTCAGTGTCATATAAATGCTATTCTGGCTGCATCTAGGAAAGCTTCTTTCCTTTTTACAGCACCAAGTGGATAGTGGAGATGCCACAGGATTTCATTGCTCCTGTCTAAAGGTCTCCTTAAAGGTGATTGACTGAAATGAGATTCCTTTCATTAACTATCCTTCACCCCAAGTGTGATTAATTAGTATTATCTACCTCCAGGTGCATATTATACAGCTCTGCTTTAAACAACTATTTCTGTCCCGGTGAGCTAATCTCCTTTAATGGATAAAATTGCAACTGCTCTTGATTTTGATGAGCTTACTGTATCTCCACTAGATGAGAAATGCTTGTGTACAGCATGATTCCGTTTCTATATCAGACCAGAAGTAAAATCTCCACAATGGAAGCTTTTAAGACATATTGACAGTTCAAATCCAGAGGCAAGGCTTTGTCCAGCCTTCTCTAAGTGTGAAATTTCTGACATTTCACCTTTTTTTTTAGCAGTAACAGCAAGTACAACCAGTTGAAGTGTGAAACTGTCAAGCTTCTGACTTAATGGTAACAGAAACTGATATTTTTATATAGCACGCTGTATTTCAGGATACCAAAGTACTTTAAAAAGTAAACATAGAGGTCACTCCACAGGGTCATGGACTCTAGCTATCCCTAGAAAAGAAAGCCGAGACCATACAGTATAGCTTCAGACTGCTATTTCAATAAGAAAATGAAAAATGTCAGTTTTCACAGACAAAGGAACGCTTACAGTTTAGACCTCACAAATAGGTGATATCGAAATCTCATCAGACTGAACCCTACTGCAAAGACAGAACAAATGGAAATACGACTGAATCAAGTTGTGTTCATAGATCTTGCTTTGGCTAAGCACTAAATTGAAATTTCCATTATGTTTCATTCTTTTTTTTCTAGCCAGATATTCATCCCTCTGTGTAAGAAATTGTAACTGCTTTAATGAACTAACACACAGCTATTTCAGGTTTTGGCTTACAAGCCCGAACAATCCTTTCAAGAAAAAACAAACAAATAAAAAAAATCAACCAAAGCAGATGTTGTGAAATTGTCTTACAACCTTAAAAAGCCAGATTGGGCAAACTAACCCTAATATAATCCCCAAGATGGCAACGTCAAGAGTCTAATAATGCCATGGCACAGACATTGGTTTGGTAATATTTTGCAGCCACTAATGGAATAAATGTAACAAAAGCAACTGTCAGCTCTCCACCTCAAATACCAAGACAGGCTTCTCTAAGTCACAAGGTTATTTTGGGCTCTGACACAAAGAATTTTTTCCTTCTGTCCCAACTTGGGTGCATCCCCTCTTCAGCAGAATCTGTTCATACCAGTATCCTTACTCTTGCCATTTCACATGCCTGCAAAGGGCAGAGATGCCTGGAATAGGCAGCATCAAAGTGATATGAAGACAAAAGAGGCATTAGTAAGAGAAGGAATCCCCAGCAGAGACTTGCACCAGCCTATGATTATCCCCTCACTCCTGTCA